CAAGCGGCTTCAGAAATGTCATATTTTATGCACTAAAAGTTGCTAACTCCAAAGTCTTACGTGAATTAAATTTAAGATACACTTACTGCCTAATAGATTTGATATTAAAGTCAATGTTTTTAGAGAAAAAAATAGTAGATGATTTATATCCATCAAATAATACTCAGAAAGGACAAAAAAAGTGCAGTGTGACTGATAAATTCCCGTACAAAAGAATCCATCAGTCACCTTAGAAATGCTTTTAGTACCTCTGAATAGCAAATTTTTTTTCATTCAAAACCTAAAATTTAATTTAATGCATTGAATGGTATGTTTTCCAATAATATTACTAAAGAGTAAAATTAGATCTAGAAAATTATCCATTTTTATATACATACTCTCACCTTTATATTTACTCCAAATATTCACATTCGTATATTCATTCATATTATATATGTGACAAGTTTACTCGTCAATGCACAAAAGTCTGTATCATCTTCATGACGTATATATTCGTCAAATACAGTTAGTAAATGGACTGGAGTGGACTTGCATTATGTGAATGTTTCATTGAAGAAACAAATAATATGTTTGTATATTAAATTTTATCTTTAATTTATTTGAGACATGAGCCTACCGTAGTGTAAAGGTTAAGAACGCAGCCATCTCGACGTCAAGCAGTATGATCACAATCATAACTTTCAGTGAATTGTTTTTCGAGGAGATTTTACAACTAATATTTGGTAACAGATTTACACACATACGCAAACACACACACACATATATATATATATATATATATATTTCAAAGTAACTGGCAGCCCATTCGTCGAAATAAAAAAGGTATAAAGTATAAAAACTTTTATTTATACGTTTCGACACAAGATGCGTGTCATCATTCAGCAACTACAACAATTTGAAAATTTTATTAACTAATATAAACAACAATAAAAATTAATTATAGCATAGAGAAACATTATACACACCACAGGACAAAAACACTCAACAAAAATTTATTTTACAAAATTAAACTTGATAACATAATAGAAAAAACATCAGTTTAAAAAAATTGAACAACCCAGATAAAGAAACAAAATTTAGATCCTTGTGTTGTAACAAACTTTTATCTTTCATCAAAATTAATAATTCAAAATTTAGTTCCCTTCCTTTACAGTCAGAAATTGTTAGAGATTTAAAAATTTGCAAAAAGTTTTTGAGGGATAATCCAGATATCTTAGTTACCAGAGCTGACAAGGGCAATCTTACTGTGGTTTTGGATAGGTCGGATTATTTTTCAAAAACTTATGCTTTATTAAACAACGAAACCTTTTATAAACCTTTAACTAACGACCCCACCGATCATTTAAACAGACAAACGCACAAACTCATTGGCAATTTAATCACAAAAAAACAAATCTCCAAATCATTAGGTTTTTCTTTAAAAGTTTTTCATCCCAGTTTTCCCAAGTTGTATTGTCTTCCTAAAATTCACAAACCTAATTTATCTCTCAGACCTATAGTTTCCGATTTGAATTCTCCCTTAAGTAAACTCTCCAAACATATCAGCTCCATTCTCTCTAAGGTTACTGTTTTATCTAAATTTAATGTTTCCAATTCTTTTGATTTAGTAAAAAATTTAAAGAATTTTACAATTCCTTCCAATTCTTCCTTTGTTAGTTTTGATGTCATTTCCCTTTTCACTAACATTCCTTGGGATTTGGCTTTGGAAGCTGTTTCTGCCCGCTGGAATGATATCCAACCACACACTTCGATTGACTTGGTTTGGTTTAAGACGATTTTAAATTTCATTTTTGTTAACACGTACTTTTGTTTTGATGATCAATTTTATTCGCAGATTTTTGGTTTACCCATGGGTTCTAGTATTAGCCCCCCTGTGGCTGATTTAACACTACAAATTTTAGAAAATTTTGTTTTATCTAATCTTTCTGTTCCACCTCACCTTTATTATAGATATGTTGATGACGTTCTGTTGTGCCTTGATGATTCTCATATTGTTGACACATTAGACTCTTTTAATTCTTTTAACAAACATTTGCAGTTCACCTGTGAGATTGAGTCAGATGACTCTATTAGTTTTTTAGACCTAAGAATTACTAAAAATAAAGTTAACAATTCTGTCCTGACTGATTGGTATCAGAAACCAACGTGGTCAGGAAGATATTTAAATTATTTGTCTTTTCATTCGCGTTCCATTAAAATTTCTGTCATTATCTCTCTTATAGACAGGGCTATTTTACTAAGTAACAGTATGTTTTGGGAAAAAAATTTGACCCTTATTCGTTCCGTTCTCAAAGACAATAGTTACCCTTCGCACTTGATCAACAACATCATTAATAATAGATTAATTTATTTACAAACGAATTCTAATAATTCATTTTCACCTTCTTGTTCAAATTCAATAGCTTCCTCTTCCGCCCAATACAAAGGAACTATCTGTTTGCCTTTTTTAAGCAATTTTTCGTATTTTTTAAAAAAGTTATTTTCTTCAGAAGGATTCCGATTAGTCTTTAGTTTTGATAATACTTTTAATTGCCTTTTTTCGATTCTTAAGTCTGGAACCCCGTCTGATAGGGTCACCGATTCTGTTTACAGGTTGGATTGCAATGATTGCAATATGTGTTATATTGGAGAAAGTTCCCAGTATATTTATAAGAGAGTTAATCAACATATTTATAATTCAAAAAATCCAAACCAATTCAAAACGATGTTTTCCGATCATATGCTCAATCTCAATCACACTTTTAACACTTCACATCCTGTTATTCTTTACATCGAAAAAAATAGTGACCTTAGAAAATTTGCTGAATCCTTTTTCATTTCATTAAATTCCTCCTCTTGTGTTAACAAACGCAATTCATCCCACCTTTTACATGATAGTTACCAGATAGTTATTGATTTTATTAAAAAAACAAAAAATTAATTTGCTTATTTCTTTTATATTATTTTTATAATTTTGTTTTTTTGTTTTAACTTTTACTTGGTTTGCTTTTTCCTTTTGATCAATCCCAGCTCAACCTCTGTATTCGATGCGTTCTCTTGCAGCGTAGAATTTGTCCTTGATGCGTCCCCTCCCATTCCTATCAACACGCCTATTGAAATAATTCAGTCGAGTCTAGATGCTCGGTATGGGCGTGCTTCTAGCTTCACAATGATGTATTTCATAACTTTTAGTAAAATTAGTTTTTAAAAACTTTTAGTTATACATAATTTTTTTCTAAAAAATGTTTTTTCTATTATGTTATCAAGTTTAATTTTGTAAAATAAATTTTTGTTGAGTGTTTTTGTCCTGTGGTGTGTATAATGTTTCTCTATGCTATAATTAATTTTTATTGTTGTTTATATTAGTTAATAAAATTTTCAAATTGTTGTAGTTGCTGAATGATGACACGCATCTTGTGTCGAAACGTATAAATAAAAGTTTTTATACTTTATACCTTTTTTATTTCGACGAATGGGCTGCCAGTTACTTTGAAATATGTTTCAACGTCGAAAAAACTATCAAGATATATATATATATATATATATATATAAGGAAATAAAGGAATGGGAATAAGAAGAATGCCGAAGTGCAACATCAAGAAGAATAGAAGCAAATTTCGGAAATAAAAATACATAAAAAAGAGGGAGAGGGAAAATAGTGGCAATGGGAATGATAGACGACAAAGGTGGTGGTTTCATGGACCTGCCTTTAGTCATACCACCATTTATTATATATATATATATATATATATATATATATATATATATATATATATGATATAGTTTTGCAGCCACAAGTCGAAAAATAAAACAAGAACGTAAATAAATATTTACGTTCTTGTTTTATTTTTCGACTTGTGGCTGCAAAACTGTATCATATAATGTTTCAAAGTCGAAACAAACAATATCAAGATATATATATATATATATATATATATATATATATATATATATATATATATATATATATATATATAGATTACACATAAATAAGAATAGTGGTTGACCATTGGGAGGAGAAAATATACAACGTTAGGATGTACTATATCGAAACCAGATTATAGAACAAATAGTTCTGAATGCTTTTAAAATTAACCTGGCTTAAGAAAAATAAAGTATTTGCTGCGCTTCAATGAATAAACACACTTGCTTTTACTTAATTATGTATTTTAACAAAATAATCAATTTATTGCTTAATAATAACAAACTAGTTGTAATAGAAATTAGATTAAAAAACAATTTTTAATATAATCGAAATTGTTCCGGCTATCTAAAAATTATCATCCTATAGACAGTTACATTGAATTACTAAAGTAATAGGACATCGCGTGTTTAGAGCCCACTTATCGTCTGCACTCACACATTTAGAAACTAAAGAAGGTCTTTGATAAGTAGACCTGGTTTATAAGGGGTAATTTTGATATTTGATGATCTGTGATTTGGTTTACCTAGCTTAGGAACGATAAATTTCCTTTCGTGCAAACGCCCACAGAACTGAGCAAAATTGAATTTACAATTATTTGAACAATCAGTTTATTTCACATAATCATCCTGCAGTTCATATCATATTATTATAAATATAAATTTTATAATAAAAATGGATTTTTTTTAAAATAGGTTAAAATTAACTCGTTTGTAATCTTTATAATTGTATAACTATAAAATAGGTAAGAAAATAATCGTTATAAACACTTTAGATTTACATAAACTACAACTATCACTTTCTTCAAACTCCAGTTTGCTTATCATTGTGAACAGTTTAATATATTTCTACATAATACATAAATTGAGTCATGGAATTAATTTGATCATGGAATTCATTTCTATAAAATATCATATCATACATGTTCGAATACGCAACAAACAAAACAACACAATATCATTTTTTTAATTGATCGATTTATTTTATTTTCAATTTGCATCCACATATTTTTTAAAATTTACATAAAAATTTAATTGCAAGTTGAAACAGTAAAATATATTTATATTTCAGTTTTAGTAATGATCTCATTACTAATCAATTATATTTTTCCTGGAAATCTTCCTTCTTCAATTTGAGTATTCCAATTCTCGACCCATTCAATTGGACAAATACTTGTAAAAACATTTTTAAAATAATCACAAGCAGAATAAGCCATCCCCTTTAACTTTTTTGCAACGATGATAATCAACAAAACTTTGATAACAATATTTAGTTTGATTTTGATTTTGAAATCTGGGATCAAATGGTGCTGTTTTTAGATCTTCGGGCTTCATTGGAGGAACCATCTTGAACTGATGATCTATATATAATAAAGGACTCTTCAATTAATTTTATCCTTAACCATTTTACTAACTATTATTAACAAATTTGTATGTAAGTATTGCTTTATAATTCAGAAGTAACATCTGACATTAAATTATGAAATCAACTACTTAAAAATTTAAATTCGCATGGGCGCTGTTACTTTAGCTGCAAAACGTAAATGAAGAATTTTACGGTAATAGTAAAGATAATAGTAATTTTTAAGGTAATAGTAAATAATAACGTTTATTTCAGTAAGAAATGTTTTATAATTTCAATATAATTCAAATATAATACTCAAAAAATCACGCAAACAGATGTAAAATTCTAGTGTAAAATTACTTATTTTTCGAGAGACCAAACGTTACGAGAAAATTGAGTATATTTCTGAAATTGCTTAATGATTTCTTAATATGTACAACTTACTAGGGCGATTTGATGTCTTCTAGTTGTTTTGCCTAAAGAATATCGTTATTACACCAGATTTATAATCAAACCGCCTGTAAATTCATAAACTGTCTCTAATAATACTGTCTATTACCCAATCTATTTAAATTGATAAATATTTCAATCGCATTAAAACCAAATAACAGCTAGTACTGATAGTAAAATTTTATGATCATTGCCTCGTGGTAGTTATCACACCATTAAACAAACATTTATGCCAATAGGCCAAATCAGGTGATATCAAACTCGTAAACAAGGTGCCAACATTGGAACGTAACGAATTTACAGGTTGCAAACCTGGGGAATGGCAAAATCTAAAATTTTAATCTGCGCCCTCTGACATCACATACGCCGCCTGTATACACGGGTGTGAATTTTATATTCTAATTGAATAAGAAGAGTGGTAAACAAGCGAAAGCCGACGAATGTATGTAGCTTTGGAACCGATTAGACGGGCAGCTGGTGTAAAATTTACTTTGAGGGAGAACAAATGACGGTTTAAAAAATCATGAACAATAAAGATCATGGACATGGACGTGTTTTCATACAAAACATGTTTTCATACGCCATTTTTGAAATCTTTTCGAAAAAAAATCCGATATATTAATTATCAAATCCCTCGCTCATTATATAGATAAGATATCATTGAAAATGTGTGAAAGTGGCTTCTTTTTTTCAAGCTCATTTGTGGTCGGAACTATACTGACTAACTATTCCCATCTTGTACCACTACACCTATCTCCCTTTTTCGATCTTACGCAGTTTTTGAAATTATTTTTTTCAACGAAATTTATATCTACGATAACATTTTATTGTTTTACTATCAAAACACAACACTACAAAATGTATGTTAAAATTACGAAGTCTTTGTAGTCTATGGTGGAAATCTACAGATTGAGATGGGAACTTTCCGTTTTATGATCAAAACTAAATTTTATGTGTGTATAAGCTAGTTTGTTTCAAATATCAAATCGAAGAGTATCATTGTTTTTAAAGCTTGTTTTAATTAGTGTTTCAATAAAATTCATAGCGTAAATTTATTTAAGGTGAACAAATAACAGAATCACTTTTTACAAAATCAAAAATAATTTATGAAAAAAGTTATAGTTCGACAATATTGAAAGAAGAAAATAAATAAACTAGAGAGTAAAAGAAAGGTTATATCTACAAACCAATTTTAATTTTTAATCTATAACGAAAATGCAATACACTTGTACTATGTACTTGATATAGTTTTTCTATATTTGTATTACTATTGAAAGAAATTATTAAATATGTCGGACGTTAAATATATTAATATTTATTTTTTGTTCATTGTATTATTGTTCATATTAAAAACTTACAATTGTACTTTTTATAGTGATTTTCGTTTAGTACGGTTTTTCCATATAAAAGTAAATTTGTGTTTTCTGTTTTTTCTTGAACATATCTTCCTTGTAAAAAGTGGGATATGTGTACTAAAATTTATACACCATTATTATAATTTCATGAACTGTACTAGGAGTAATTTCCAGTATATTTTTCTAAATTCTACATAAAATTCAGTAATTAAAGCAAGATTTCAATATACAATTCAAATAATAACTAATGTCATGTTTCGATATAATTATATACTCGTATAGTTTATAAAAATTTGCCAATTTCAAAACATGACCATAATATTAGACTAAGGACAGTTTGATTTATCCTCTCAAATAATATAATCGATGCTACATCCAATTTTCGTCTCCAGCAAATTCAATTTAATTTAGCAATAATAATATTGTGAATATAATTACTATCAAGATTTCACTTGTAGATAATATGTACATAAATATACATAGAAAGTTTATTTGGAATTCTCTAATAAAATATTTTCTCTCAATACTGTCAAATGATAAAAAAATATTGAGAAGAGCAAGTTTCTGGTGTAGGAAATTTATATGCATATAAAACTGAAAACTCTTCAGATTGGAAATTAAAGTAAATATCAATTCTTACCGAGTTGTTTTCATCATTCATAAAATAACGTATTTTGTGTACTGCAAAAAAATTGATCAAACAGGATTCGAGTAGTTATATATGACTATAAATAGCTGAACAACAAAAAAAAATCGGCATTAGTGTGTTATAGCTCATTGTTGTCATTCATGACCAATTATTCAGATGTTATCTCATGGAGATTATTTTGCTGAAAAAAGAATACTATAAAAATCTATCAAAAATAGGTTGAAAACGCCTGTTTATTGTAAGGGTGTTTGTGTGGGCGAATGTGTGATGTATGCAAAAGGCTGTTGAATGCAAAACGCGCATGATGGCATGACGCAGGGAAATGAGGTGTGCAAAGTGCCCTCCGGCCTCCAAATCATAAAAATCAGAGCCAAACTTTATCCACACAAGAGAAAGGATTAAATAAATATATATGATGTTAATTTGAATTTGTACGATTCACGTTAATTTACGTTATAGTTAAATATTAAGCATGTATGTATATAAATTCTGTAGCTGGCCTCTGTAGCTGCCCCCCCCCCATACACACACATACACATACACATCCATTTTTTCTTAGGTATGCCGAAATGTTCAGAAACCTTTAAAACGTCGAGAAATGCAATCAAATTTCAATTTCGTGCAATTAATTCGATTGCAATCGTAGACATGGAGCCTCCGAGTAATAAAAAAACGGAGTATTAATCTAAAAGGATTAATAGGATTAAGTTAAAATTTTTTTGACAAAATGCCGACTGTTAGAACAGAAAGATAATTTTGCTTATCACTTTTTCAGTTTCACAATTGTTTTAAAAATATCAAAAATTGAATTTGGGGATCATCAAATAAAATAAATTTTTAAAAATCCTCTCGTAGATATACGTATTCTTAATATGCAAGTAATAAACAATTGCCGGAAATATTTTCAAATGTAAGTATCAGTAAATAAAATTTCTAACTAAATAAATATTCTTCATATACAATTCAGATTTTTTAAATTGTTATATAAAATATAAAGAATTTTTATCTAATCAAAAATTAGATTTTAAATCATGAAATAACATATGCTTATTGATAATTAATTTCTCTAATAATTACGTGCAAATAATTAAATTTAATCTTACAATAGATGTGACATGTGACCCCTTCATACACGTGCATAACTTTACATCCAGCATTTTTCCGACATTTTTATCAAATATTATTTGTTATATTTACTTTTGATGGAAACATTTCAAGATACCCTTTTCTAATATAATACATTACTGTATACCGACTGTTTACTGTCTGCAAATTCACATGTCTATATGCAAAAATAAATTCACCCCAAGCGATTTTATACCAACACTGCGAAGAGAATAGCGTCAGTATTTTCTATTGCTTCCTTTTCCGCCTGGGTATTGTTTAAGTTTTTATAACAACAACGTTTTTCTTAAAAGTCAATAAATAAATATTATAAAATTCTTAATATTTAAAATAATTTTTCAAGAAATAAAATATTCCTAAAAAATCTTATCAATTACTATTTAAAAATGAATCATAGCAAACATTTATTAAGCTATGCTATCGTTAATTATTTTCATAAAAACGATTCTTAAGACTTCTAAACTGATTTAAAGTTAGATCTGGCTCCAATCATATGGTTGAACAGGTGTAAATTGACAATTTAATTTACCTTTACACATTAGTAAATATATAAATTGACACATTTAATTATTTACTCATAGACAGTATGTATTTTACGACACCTGAGATTTTGTGCATCGACTCCTCCATACCTATTCTACATAAGATGAGGACTGACTAAGCCCAAAGTGGCGGACACAGCTACTGCGCAGCTGGTAAAGGTACCTTTTTTCGCCCATTTTCGAAATAAAATTAAGTACAAATTCATTTCAGAATATATTTTAGTTCAAATTTGATTCGAGTTGGCTAAGTTTCAGTATTTGCTTTTATTCAGACAAAATTCAAGTTAGCCTGAATTTTAACATTTAGTTTGATATAAGCTCGATTAAATTTGAGTTAGATTAAATTAGAATTTAATTAGTATCTTAGTGAATATTTATATTACAATTAATATTTTTTAATTTTTTTATTTAAATGAAATACTAATTTATAATAGCAATATTCAAGCCAATAACACTCAGCAGTATTAATAAGTTTAAATTTACAGAAAATTATCCAAAACCATAATCGTCTTCACATTCAAAAGTATTATAGATTTCTACTATTTACTTCATTAACACAATCCAACCCTGATTTATCATTATCCAAAATTTCATACAAATATGTTTTTCAATATTACATAGTTTAAAAACCGTATGAATTTTCATACATTGCTCATAAATGTATTTATTTTCGGTTCGCGTGTTTTGCAAACAGGCGGCGGCAGGCAGAAGGCCCACACTTATTTTAAACCTCGCATAGGTATGAAATATATTATGTATATTTCCCATACATTATGCAATAAAATTGCATCAGCATATTCTTGTGTGGAAGTATAAGCGCCTAGTTGGTATATTTAACACATGATTTATTGAGATTATCCCCGGCCTTCTTGAAGCTTTTATGCGTGCCGTGTTTTATATTTTAATAAATTGTTATCAGCTTTTGAGAGGGGTGCATAAGTGGAAAATAAGGGCTGGTGGTCACTTTTTTAAAAAAGGAACGAATGCTTTTATTATAGTTATGTTTTTAGAATTTTGTACATATTTAGTTGTTTGTTATGTATGTCAAATTTCCTGATTGTTTGGAAACGGACATCGTATTTTTGTGACAACAACAATGATTCCGACTAGTTTTAACCAAAATTTGAGGCTAATTTGAATTGTAATTGACCAATATTGACTAGACAAATATTGGCAAGACCAATATTGGCCAGAGCAAAAGTGGCCTGACCAATATTGACCAGAACAATATTAAATCAGTGTTGACAATATCAATATTGGCGAGACTAAAATTGGCAGGACCAATATTGGCCAGACCAATATTACCGAGACCAAACTACCTACCCACTCACTTTTACATACAACCTACTAAAAAATATGTATAATTTGTCAGTTTAAATGAGTCTTTACGAAACCACGCATGTTTGTTCATTTTTCTAAGTGATATAAATGATATAAATATCTATAATTCTTTTTACATACAGCACTGTTAGCCTCATGTCAAGCAGTAGTATCATCAGTTTTTAAGTGGAAATGTATTTTCAAGTAAATGCTTTTATTATAGTTGTTATATATGTAAATTTGCCTGATTGTTTGGAAATAGACATGGTATTTATATGACAACAACAATGATTCTAACTAAATTTTAACTAATATTTAATCTAGCTTTAGTCAAAATAAATTTTAAAATTTAGGCTAATTTGAATTGTAATTTACCAAAATTGACTGGACGAATATTGGACAGACCAATACTGGCAAAACCAATACTCGCAAGACCAATATTGGCCAGATCAATATTGGCTAGACCTTTTTGGCAAAACCAATACTGGTAAGATCAATATTGGCCATATCAATATTGGCCACATGGATATTGGCCAGACCTGTATTGGCAGAACCAATATTGGCAAGATCGATATGGTTCTGGAGAGACCAATATTACCCAGACCAAAATACCTACTCACTCGCTTTTACATACAACGTTCTGGAATGAATAATTTTTTTTTCAAACAAACCAACAAACTACTAAAAAATATGTATAATTTTGTCAGTTCAAATAAGTATAAACTACGCATGTTTGTATTAATATTAATATGTATAAATCTGAGCATTTCTATTTATTTATACATAACAATAATTCACAATTAAATCTGGCAAATTTAAACTTTAAATAATGTGTAAATCAAAGATTCCAGGTACGATACCCGCCTCAGGCAGCCTCATGTCAAGCAGTAGTATTAACAGTTTTCAAGTGAAAATGTTGAAATAAAAATTATATTAGATTCCAGTCAGATTGGACTTAAATTTATGTTAGATTTTCTAGTGGAGAAAGCTTTTATCCAACATTGCTGCACCAATGAAAAATTCAACAGTATTATAAAAATTGTAATAATAAATTCATCACATAGTGATGCAACAACCGGTTAAATCATAATAACTGTCAAAAGGATTTATCATTTCAATTTGAATCTAGTGTTTGGATTTAATTTGAACTTGTTTAGAATAATTTATTGAACAATATTTTTAATATTCTGTTTAAAATCTTGTTGTTATAGTAATTAATTTGAAATTAAAAATAATTGAATCAACTTAGATTTTTTAAAGAAATAAGATAAATATCTATCAAAATTATGCTTTTTCATAGATACGTACACAAAAATATCTGTAATCGCAAAAGAAACACGATTTTGATGATATGCTTAATGCAAAACTTATGATTTTTAATGTGATGTAAAAACTATTTATGATCACATAGCGCTAGAAATATAAATAATTATTTTTAATAAACTAAATAAACAAAATCGATTTCTCTATCCATCCCTAGTTCTCTTAGGCGATCCCACGCATCAAGGTGCTCCAAACGCACCAGAGAACACGCCTAGGTGTGTACTTCCAAGTTATGCTGCGTATGAATAAATATTTATGGTTATTACTTTATTACAAGCACATCGGGTGCAAGAGAGAGAATTGTTAAAGTTAATGTAAAATTATGCAAATCGGGTCATAAAGCAAAACCGTTTGTACCGAGGTAACCGACATTCGTATATATAACTTAGCCGGGTAACGACGTGGGCGATGCCTCGAGATTAAGTGTTGATTAAAATTGCTTGAATAAAAATTGCCTACTATCCACGGAGAACGTCGTATATGATATTTGAAGTATAAATTCTACCAGGAGAGAGATGATTATGTAGTTAGAAAGGTCGGTGAAAAGAGTTTATTGCTTTTTTGTGGAATAAGGGGGCTTAATAAATTATTTTGTGAAATATTAAGGATGCTGTAAGAAGATACTGGCACACCTTTACATGTATAATGTACTTGAGAGTCATTGATATATGATATAATTATGTATCATATTAGCAGTATCTAACATGCGATTTAGCAATTTCCAAATTTTCTAACTAATGTTAAGAAAATTTGGAAATTGGTAAACTGCACGTTAGATATTAAGATGAAAAATTTATATAAAAAATTATTAATGAATTTTTGTGAATAATTAGGAATTACAATTAAAACCAAAATGGCTAGTTAATAATACATATTAAAATAAAAAATATATATTTAAAAGTACACAGATAAGAAAATAAAGTCATTGTACACAGATAAAATAACAAGTCTTTCATAATGCTTTAATAATTTTTATACATGCATACATAATTTAGATACTTTGGTCAAACAAATAATAAATAATAGTATATTAATATTAATTAATATATACGTAATTTATCATAAGTTATAAACATCGGTTTATTATGCTAGTATACAAAATATTTCATGCATATATTAGATTCACAATTAGATGCCGATTTTTACGTATGGTTAATCTGAAACAAATGAAAATCATTGAAAATATTTACTCAAATATTGCAAATTATTTATAAAATAACATTATACTTTATCTGACAACCTTAGATCTGTTTCCAACCACATGGTTTGACAGGTGGAAATTGTCAATTTAATCTACCTTAATGTGTGAATAAACAAACACGTTTCATATGTGTATGTGTATATTTACACATTAAGGAATATAGTAATGAACACATTTAAACAATTACTTACGATTTTAATCGTTTATTTACTTGGAACGAGCTCGCATCTTCCTGCGTTTGCGTTTGAGCCTGCGCATCCTCTTTTTACGCCACTATGAAAATTATAAATAAAATTAAATTGGAAAATAATAACAGTAGCATTGATACTTAAACATGTATGATTAAATAGGACTTTGAAAAAAATCGAGTTTGTTTCACACAATTCCCAGTAACACCCCGCTAAGATTCTGACAAGATGGAAATCAGCTACATTCATTGAAAAAAACAAATCTATATAAAATTTATGCTTTTCCGAAAAAAAAAAGATTTAAAAGCACAAGAGTGAATCTCAGAGTATTAATTTCTAAACAACATAAATTACTTATGAAACAGAATCCTGTGAAAACTGTATATCATACGCCTCCAATATATTTGCAATATATGCAACATATGTGCGTAATACATTTCAAAGAATATAATATGAGTAAAAAATAATGTTGTACAATTAATAAAATTATTTATTCAAAAATTCATCACCTTAATAAAAAATAATAATATTAAATAATAATAATAATATAACACTTACCTTAGCTCTCATTTTCCTCGGACACTAATGCCGAGCTCACAAAACTGCCTCGATGTGAAATTGTTTTCAGTGGAAGAAGTTACTTCCAGCCGACCTGAACCAGAAATGAAAAAACGACAGTCCGAATATTTTAAGGTATTTTAATTGTTACGTAACATTTTTTGTTGTAGTTCAACATTTTATCGATAGAAGGAAGCGTTTCAAGTGTATATTTGCTTTTGGCGCACATTTTGAATTATCCTACAATTTAGAGAAATATTTGTGTTCAACTAATCAACAAAATGTGACATTCATAACAAATAATATAATTTGAATGCCTTCGGTAGACATATGTTAGTTCGTTATATACAATAGTAAATAGTGATTAAAATGAGTTATTTAATTAAACAATAAAATATAAATCGAGGTACACATTTCACACATAAAACTATGTAGGTATATTAGTTTAATTAATACTTTTATTACTCTCACCGCAGACAAAAATCTCATAAAATATTTAATATAATCTTTTAAGCGGCATGATGGATTTATATCCCTATTCCGGCTACTAGCTTTTATAACTTTATACTTGTAATCATATACAACTACTACTTTGCATTATCTAAAGCAGTCATAAAATTTCATTCGTTTTCGGATTAAAAACATTAGCCTCGCAAAATATATATCATTTATTCGCAAATTGAAATATTGAAAAGAAAGCATTAGAAATTACCAAATAGTCAGTTAACTTAACTAAATTTTATTGTATTTTTTAATTACGTATATTATATGTATTGACATATTTTAATCTACATATTTTTTATTTTTTAGAGTCAACTTAGTTTTACAATAGACATATACTACTACCTGTACATTTTATTCAGTTTTATATATTTTTAAAACATTTGTGTATCTAATTAAATTAATCCTATATGTATTACCATGACCTATTTCAAATAAATTCCAAATACCTTCAATTTATATGCGAGAGAGCAATTCAAAAATACGATTAATGAGGTATGTTGATGAGTTTCGGGACTGACGAATTATATATTTTGAATTTACATGGCAACGCGTGCTGTCGATTGCTCGAATTCTCGAATGAATGATAAATTATAATATAAATTATATTGAAGCTAAACCTACATATAGATAAAAACTTTACAAATATTTAAATGTTCAAGAAAATATTTTTTATACGAATTTATTAAACGATTTGCATAATATGAAAAACATAAAACTAGTAGTACAGATGTATTCTTTACTATATGTATAATCAAGTGCAGTTCATCTACCAATTCGTATAATTTATAATTAACATGATGTAAGTGACATTTTCTTTAAGGCGAATTTCTTGATACGTAGCCAACGTGGAAATCACTAACTCTTGATAAGAATTGTGATTTAACAACTTTTATAATTGTAACAATTAAGAAATGTTGACACGAACGATTATTACAATAATGAATTCATATATTTAAAACATTAGTCGTAAGCCTATAATATTTTGGATGTTTGATAGGTTCATAAATTCCATTATTATGTAAAGTTCTATCAAAATCCTCTAAATTTGTTTCCAGAAATTAATAACATCGGTGACGATCTTTATCAAAAGCTAATCAGGAGAAATATTTTAAATAATTCAGTTAGGATTCAGTTAGATTTAGTTAGATTCAAGTTAAAATCCAGTTGGATTTAAGAATTTAATTTTGTTTAGAATATCTGTAGTGTGCATTAATAAAACAAATTTTGCTATTAATTGTCGTAATCTAGCTCAAATCTTATTTAAATCAACCTAAGTTCTGAAATTTGGGTTAACTTTGATCTAAATTGAATGTAGTTTGAATTTCGCTTGAAATGTCAGTGTAACTATGTTTTCATTTATTTTTTTTCTCATTTTCCAAAAAGTGACCATTTTGGTCATATATATAAAATATATAATAGTAAAATGTAGAAAATAACTGCGTAATATATTTATAACAAATACTATACTTACTTCCTATACATTACTTCATGACATTTGTGACCAGTAAATATCAACCCAGTTGAAACAAATTTAATTTTTACAAAAAAAAGGGCAAGTATATATCATGACCTTTATATCCACGCAATGTTTTTCTGTTATTTACAGTTAACTCGTTTGCAATAGGCATCGGTGCTAGATTTATTCGCTTGAGAGTGTAAATTTATTTATTTCCGACCCAATTCTACGTTTCAGTATTTCTAAAAACAGGAATTTTTAAAATATAGGAGCCGATTTTGTTGTAAAATAGACCAATGTTATGGCAAGGCTATGTTACGTAATGTTTTGCATACAAAATGGTACTAAAAACAGCAAAAATGTAACATTACTCTTATGTTATTATGCCACATCACAAAGATGCACTTATTAGATTAGGTTTTCTATCCAAAACGACTGACTTCATTTTAGCATTTTGACAGTTTTTAGTACCATTTTATATGAAAAACGCTACGTAACTTAGCCTTGCCACAACATAGGTGTAGTTCACGGCAGAATCGGTGCAATAGTTTTTTACACACCATAATTTAAGTTGATATTTTTGTGCATAACTTTAAATGACGATACTTATAATAAATTTCCTTATTAAACAATTATACCCGTGGGTAAAATGTTTATATCTGTCGGCCTGTGTAGGTACATGTGTGCGGAAAACATATTATACATATAAAGTTATGCTAATCTTTTCGCTCCCGTAAAATTGCGCGCAGTGAAAAACACTAATAAGCCGGAACTTTACGCGCGCAACTCAAATAAAAATTTGCATACAGAGAGTGAAGCGGCATGGAGCGGCACACGTGCTACTAGCGCTGAAATATATATGGAACTACCGCCAGGGGGCTCTAGAACGCATCGAAATTAACGGACTCGAACGACGGTGAAACGAAAAAAAACACGCACGTGTAGTTATATTTTGCACAAACACATGTCCTTTGGAATGAATACTCTCATACAAATTGAGAAATTATGGAAGGTTGTGGGTAAATGGAAAATGTTTACTAGGTAGATATGACTTCATACTTGTAGCAATCAAATCAATAATACAACCGGGGCTTGCCCATAAGTAAGTGGCTAAAGCGACGGAATCTGAATCACTAGACCCAGATTCGATACCCGTTTTGACCAGCCTGATGTTAGTAGTAGTGACATCTGTAGTAGTGATATCGATTTTTAGTTGGAAATATAGTAGCCGAATCTGCTATTCGCTTATAGACCAATGTTATGGCAAGGCTATGTGAAGTAGCGCTTTTCATACAAAATGGTACTAAATACTGTCAAAACGCCAAGTAAATGCTATGCAATCTGGCGTTTTAAAAAGAAAACCTAACTTAGTAACCGCACAAATATCAAAAATACAACTTATCATAATTTATGCCTAGAATGACAGCACAGAAAATACATGTCATTTTGACAGTATTTAGTACCATTTTCTATGAGAAAAATGCTACGTAACATAGCCTCACCATAACATTCGTCTATTTTACAGCTAAATCGGGCCCATAGATTATAATCTGATGGCCAGATTCATCTCAGATTCAAGATATATTATCACGTGTAAAAAACTATTAGGCCGATTCAGCCGTACAAAACACCGATGTTATGGCATGACTATGTTACGTAACGCTTTCTCATAGAAAATGGTACTAAATACTGTCAAAATGCCATGTATTTTCTGTGCGATCAGGCGTTTTACACATAAAGTGCAACTTTACTCATTACAAAGATGCAGTTATGACAACTTGTTTTTTGAAATTTATGCGGTTTTTAAGTTAAATTTTCAATCTAAAACGTCTGATTGACCAGCAACCATATTGCGCTTTGATAGTTTTTAATAACATTTTGTACGAAAAGCGCTACGTAGCATAGCCTTGCTATAACACTGGTCTATTTTACAGCAAAATCGGTCTCATAGATAGTAATATGTTACCAAGTGCTGTATCTACAACCATATTACTTAAATTATCTTAATGAGCAAAATTGCAAAGCAAAAAATGCGGTTGATGGGCGCGGTATGGCCAGATCTATTTGGCGTCATCGTCATCTTATTTTATGAAAAGACTAAAAAAGTCCGTCGTGTGTGTTCTTCGTATTAAAGAGTGCAACGAGGAGAAGAAGCGCAAAGACACTCCTACATAACATAAAGAATAAGAAACAATAACACGCAGACTGCCGGAGTCTCAAGTGTGTGTCCACATGTCAAGACAGTGCGCGCAACTATAAAGTAGGAATTACTACCAAACAGAATCGAATTGGTTAAAGAAGATAATGATAACTAGAGGTGCATGGAATTATGTCTTAAGGCAAGTTGCTGGAACTTCCGTACAAAAAATTATTTTCTTTTAAAAAAAATCCATTTTTTAGAACTTTGAAAAAAATAGGACTTCTGAGATTTTTAAAACTTCTTAAAAAAAATTGATCTTTTTGAAAAATTTGAATTTTGAACTTTTTTCAAAGCAATCGCGATACGTTACCTACGTGGGAACGAATTATCGAAGCGCATATCGATAGCGGATAAACATTGGTATACAAGCAAGCCATAGAAATGTACTGAATTTGTTCTTTGCTAGGTGTTTGGTAGATCGGAAGGCCATTACTTGCTTAATCTTCTTAAAGGTCTGTGAATCGGTTGAATAGTAAGATTTGTATGCTGGATTAATTTATTGTTGAAAGATGAACTTCTAATTTTTATCATTTCGTTGGCAAAAGTTCAAAATATACCAAGGCGCATTAGTTAGGATATGCAGAATTTTGTTCTGGCACCTTTGAATGATGTTTATGTTTCATTTACAAGAGCAACCCCATAGTTCGATTCCATAAGTCCAAATGGGCACTATGATTGTTTTGTACAGAAGTACCTTGTTATCGAGAGAGATTTTAGATTTGCTCCCAAAAAACCAGTAAAAATCTTTTAAAAATACAACATTGATTGCTCATTGTGAATTCTATATTTGAAGCATGAAATATTTTATACTGTGATTTCTCATGTTTATGAATTTCAAATCAGTTTTAAACTTTTTTTGACAAAAGCGCTTACCAACGATATGAATCAAAATGAATTATATGTAAACTAGTAATAATAAATTAGATAATATTCACAATATAAATGTATAATTAATGGAAAGAAAACTATAATAAAACTGCATGAAAGTTTCTCAGTTTTCTGTGACAAACCTCCAAATCGTATGACTCTAACGTCGAAATCATGGTTTAAAAACATTCTGCGGTTACAATAT